TCCCTTACCAGCTGCTGTGTTTGTAAGTATCTGGACATTGTTTGTATTGGGTTTGTAAGTATCCTTGCACATTGTGTCTCCTGTCAGAGTCATCCCTTACCAGCTGCTGTGTTTGTAAGTATCTGGACATTGTATCAGGCTTGTAAGTATCTAGACATTGTATCAGGCTTGTAAGTATCTAGACATTGTATTGGTTTGTAAGTATCTAGACATTGTATTGGGCTTGTAAGTATCTAGACACCGTATTGGGCTTGTAAGTATCTACACATTGTATCGGGCTTGTAAGTATCTAGACATTGTATCGGGCTTGTAAGTATCTAGACATTGTATCTGGTTTGTAAGTATCTAGACATTGTATCGGGCTTGTAAGTATCTAGACATTGTATTGGGCTTGTAAATATCTAGATATTTTGTTTATTGGTACACATTTGAATAGGCTTTGTGACTGAAAGTAATACACATTTCTCTGTACTTGTGTAATTGTTATGATCTACATACAGTATAAAAATTATTTTTTGATACATTTTCAATTGTATGCTAATACAATAGCTTCCTTTGGCTGCAATTGTGGCGTCATCTATTGGGATCTTTTGAACTATTAATGCTAGAATTGGAAACTGTCAGTCCACAGTATTGCTGAACGTAGTTATAAATTAAAAGATACTATATTATTAATTTTATGCTAGTGTATAGAAGTAGAAATAAAAACAGTTGAGAATAGGAATACATAAAAAACAACTTATTTTTCTTAAATTATAATTCGCTTTCCCTAATTAGTTAAATCCCATGAAAATCACGTATAGTATTAAAGATAATTACAGAAACCCATAGGTGATACACAGACAAGTCTTATCATTAATACAATTCACAAATATTTTGTATTTACTTTAAAAAGAGTAGTATACCCCTTTTTGCCCCCCAGTTGTCAGTCTGAAGACTTGTAACACCAAAATCCAAATTTTGATATCCTTGGTGTGCACAGCACAGATAATCTATTGTGTAGTTTTGTGTTTATCTAAAAATAAACTGTAAGTCAATCATTGTGTTATTGTAAAATTTATTCCAACTTTTCTGTATTACCTATGGATCTGCTTGGTTTCTATGTAAGTCAATACAGTCTTCGAACCATTTATATCAGGACTTTTGTACAAGCCAAACCATTTTGTTTTAATGTTCCATTGGGCTCTTCTTCCATCTAGGCATAGTCTCATCACATTTGCTGCAAGATGAATCCTTGCCCAGTAATTCTTGTACCTGTCAGCAGTTAGGGTGCCATCCATTTTGTATAGGTTTCTAACATGATTGGCCGAGATACACCACACACTTATATTGATATCCCAGAATGCTTCACTGTAGAGGTTGTGTATTGACCACGATGCCATTCTTCTCTCTGTTGTCAAACAACCTAATTTTGATTCTTGTCAAATAATTTGAATTTAGTTTCATCTGGTAAAATGAATCTCGGGGATCCATAATCTTTACAGTGAAAGTCACAACTATTATTAGATTTAAATCGGTACAAGCCTATTCTTTTATGTACCTCTTGTAACTATTGATGTCTTGTTGTATATTATGTTTCTAAGTGATATCATCTTATTGAAATCAAGTTTATTTTAGTGTTGTTATAAAAAAATTCCATTAATAATTTTAAGGGTTAAAACATAACATGCAACTCAAGTTCTAAATCTGTTTATGAATTTTTGTATTGTCATACTTTTCCACGTGTTAACAGGCTCATTTGGTCTGTGGGCTAAGTAATTATTGACATTTATTAATCATCTCATCTTTAAAAGCCAAAGTTTTAAAATCTGTTTATGAAATTCTTTGAATTTTTCTACTTTCCCTCATGTTAACGGACTGAGCTAGTCTTTGGTATAGGTAGTTTTTAACGATGTTCTTTAATTTTCTCAACCTTAATCAATTTGTTTTATCATTTTAATTGTCACAACTCTCTGTTCATGAGAAATTTTACTAAACATGTTTATGTGTTAGATAAACTTTAAGTGTAGCATTTGTAATTTGGTTACATGGAGGTCCTCTGTGTAAAATATTTATATGAAACTATCCTTGTGCATGCTAACTGACTGTAAGGTTTTTATGTAAACTGTTACGTGTCATTACTAAACATGTTTATGTGTTAGATAAACTTTAAGTGTAGCATTTGTAATTTAGTTACATGGAGATCCTCTGTGTAAAGTATTTATATGAAACTATCCTTGTGCATGCTAACTGACTGTAAGGTTTTTATGTAAACTGTTACGTGTCATTCTAACACTAGGGGGAACTGGAGCAGCAACTCTTGCAAGCTAACCCGATTCTGGAAGCATTTGGAAATGCCAAAACCGTCAAAAACGACAACTCCTCACGATTTGTAAGTGATGACACCACACTGGTTATTTTGAAGGAAATTTGTGGGAAGTATTGTAACTGGTATTTAACTAGGTTACTGTTGATTTTTTACTGCAGCTTAAAGCTGATAATAATAATTGTGGAACAAGGAAATTATTTCAGTTAAAATTGTACAATATTACCATTTGTTGTAATGTTTATTATTAATCACTTGCGTATATATTGAAGTAGCGATATTGTTTGTCTCTTGTATAATATATCAAATATTTCTCATGATAGTTTGGCTTCCAAACCGTCATTTATCAGTCTGTTTTCAAAGTATATAACGGATGGGGAAATTGTTAAGTAATGGTATAACGTGTGGTATCAGTGTTGAAAGTAAGCCTGTCTGTTCCATAAGTTTTAGTACTGGTAGGTACATCATACCAACAAATTATTCCCTCAAGGTCATTTTATGTTTCAACTTATTTTTACCAATATCATTGAATGTCATGTTACAATATTGTGCTTCAGGCTGTACTTCCTATCAGATGAGATGTGCTCATGTGATGTAGTTACTATTTTCTCTGATTACATTTCAACTTTAACTATGTTTCCAAATCAAACTTCAATGAACCTTTATTTTTTTTCTCTTAAGTGTAATAGCTGTTAGTGTTAATGTTCAAATTCTCGAAGCCTGTGGTCTGCGTAAACAAACAAGAGGTGTTTAAAATTTGGAAATTACCAACACTGTTATGGTACACTGGTAAGAAATTCAAGTTACTTTTACCACTTGATATTATTTGATATATTCTCCATATAATGGAGTACTACAAACATGAACCACCCTCTTATAAGTCCCTGAATAAGAGATTTCTAAATAACTTTCCAGTTACCTTCCAAATTGAAAGAGTTCTTGAAATACAAAACTTTCTTTGCAATCTTAATAGCCCTTTTTTTTTTCCCTCTCATAATTTTGTTTTATTTCAATGATAACAAGAGTTATTTTATAATTTTAGGGAAAGTTTATTCGTATAAACTTTGATGCCTCGGGATATATTGCCGGAGCCAACATTGAAACTTGTATCCTTTAGTTAAAGCTGTTTACCAACTCGTGGTTAGGATACATCTAATTTACCCTGTTTTTTTGCTTTATTATAGTAGATTCTGTAAAAACTTTTATAAAGATACGTTTTCATAATGAAAGCATATCAGTTCTCAGACTGAAAGAGAATGACTTGTCATTACTGATCAGGTGAAAAATTTTATGTGATTTATTCTAAACCAGTATAACAGATTTACTAGAAAAGTCACGTGCTGTTCGTCAGGCAAAGGATGAGCGGTCCTTTCATATTTTCTACCACTTTCTTATTGGAGCCTCACCAGAACAAAAAAGTAATTTTATTTCAGACTTTTTCAACGTAATTAGAGTTGTACTTACAGAAAGTTTTAATGCTGTTTTTCTATACATTACATAAATAGCAGTACGGAAGATATTTCATCTTGTAATGTTTTTTTGACGGATATTGAAATAATATTTTATGCATATATTTGTATAAAACGTTTTTTCTTAAACAGAAACTAACTGGTTTATTATTTTATTGAAATGACCATTTTTTACGTTGATTGTATTTGTATGAAACGTTTTTTCTTAAACAGAAACTAACTCTTGTTTTTTATTTTATTGAAATGACCATTTTTTACGTTGATTGTATTTGTATGAAACGTTTTTTCTTAAACAGAAACTAACTGGTTTATTATTTTATTAAAATGACCATTTTTTACGTTGATTGTATTTGTATAAAACGTTTTTTCTTAAACAGAAACTAACTGGTTTATTATTTTATTAAAATGACTTTATTTTTTACGTTGATTGTATTTGTATGAAATGTTTTTTCTTAAACAGAAACTAACTGGTTAATTATTTTATTAAAATGATCATTTTTACGTTGATTGTATTTGTATGAAATGTTTTTTCTTAAACAGAAACTAACTGGTTAATTATTTTATTAAAATGATCATTTTTACGTTGATTGTATTTGTATAAAACGTTTTTTCTAAAACAGAAACTAACTCTTGTTTATTATTTTATTAAAATGATCATTTTTACGTTGATTGTATTTGTATAAAACGTTTTTTCTAAAACAGAAACTAACTCTTGTTTATTATTTTATTAACATGACTTTCTTTTTTACATTAGTTGTTGCAATTTTTTTTTGTCTACAGAAGAATACCTTCTTGAAGATCTTAAAAGCTACACATTTCTTACATATGGGAATGTTCCAGTTTCTGGGATTGATGATTTAACAGAGTACAAGAACACAGTTAAAGCAATGGATATCATGGGGTTTAATCCAGATGACATCAATGGTGAGTTTAGTGTGGCCAGATTAATAAGGTGATAAATAATAACTGAGTCTTTTTTTTTAAATTTTATTAGTCATATTTTCGATTTGTTTTTCTCATTTCCTGGGGTATTTATTTTTATGTGGGAATTGTTTTAATTTTAACTGATTCGTGTACATAACCTCAAACACAGATGTTTTGTTGTAGTTCAAAATTATTTCTGAAAAACGGCTCCATTATATCAGAGTAGGGCTGTATGAATCTCGCAAACTGTTGTACACAAACAAGTCTTATGAAACGGTGATACACAATGAAATCAGGAACTTCAATAAAAGTTCCATAGGATCTTTGGTTTAATAAGATCCAGTTAATGTTTCATATAATACACAAAGAACCATGTGTGTTATTGCAGGGTATCCACTTATTTGGGGGGGAGGGTTCTTGAAACGGTAACCAAAATTAGCTCATATTCACCCTTATTGCACATTACTGTGCATTAGTTAATAAATTATATTACAGCACATTTTTATGAAAGATTCACACGAATGTAGTTTTCCTGGAATTTTTTTGTAATTATTGGTATTATATATATTACTAGCGCAAGTACCCCGGCTTTGCTCGGGGTTATTAGGGTGATATATTCTATATGACTATGTCAGTGTGTGTATTTTGAACCTATTTTAGCAAGGGGGACATGAAGGGGTTGTTGTGAAACCTTGTAAGTGTAGTGAATGTTGATATGATTTAAAGAAGTTAATAAATAAGCCTAAAGTAAAGACATGGTGTGAGATAACCTAGCCTAGAGACAAGTGCATAAAATGTATCATGAAAGTAAAAATATTGATCCAATTTTAAACTTAAATTGTTTCTGAATTAAGCTATTTTCTGTTATATCCCCAATGTCTTTAATAAATAACAAACCTCTTTAATTGACGGAGACTCTAAATTAAAAAATCAACAACCATTTTTCCAGTTTTGTTCTTTATACATTTCATTTTATACTTTCAGTACATAGACTAACAACTGTATAAGGTTATACTTTTGTTGCTAAGCAACATGACATAAAAGCCATTGTTACCAAAACGCACTGGCTTTTCTATATATTACAAGTCATTAATCTAACTGATATACAGCAGGGTATACTATGGGGTGGTAGTACTTGCCTTGTCATTTTTCTAAACTGTACAGACAAGCACCCCACCCTTAACCATGAATTAGACTCATAGCATTTTCTGTCATTGAAATTGGAATACAAGTTTTGATAGTTATATATGTTTATACACACACACGATGTATGAAAAAAACCACTTGTAACCATAATTTTCATTAAAATACCATCTTAATAATCAGTAGAGAAGTTAAATGGACTTACTAGAGATCATGGTTTCTGCTGAAAGTTACGTGTTGTTATAATCTTCAGCAAATGTAACCACTGTTG